TTTAGCTTTGTATCTTATTTATTTAGCTCAATATAAAATTTCAAAAAGTGTCTATAATAATATGGTAGGCCACTGTATATTGAAAAATATTAATCACACATAGTATTAAAATAATAAATAGAAATGTATTACCAATAATCCTTTTTTTAAGCCATAAAGCTAATTAATTATTTCTCATAATCTGGCTGAGTTAGTTTTTGTAAAATTATACTATTTACTATAATAATATTTTATTTTTTAAAACTATGATTAAAGATTTCTCAATAGTAATCTGATTAATTTCAATAATTAAGTTTATTTTCGAATTATTCTATTTTACAAATTTTAAAAATAGCTTTGAATATCAAAAAAGAATAGAAAATTATCAGTTTACTTAAAAATTGAAAAAATTTAGAAAAAAAATTTTTAAAAGACAATATTGGGCACAATTCAATAGAAAAGAAGATCTACTTTTTTGCTAAAAAAATTTTTTTAGCTTATTAAATAAAGCATAACTATAATATGATTCTAATTAAATTAATAATTTTTATTAGGGTTGTTAATGAAGTGGTTAGGTTTGGTTTGGGTTATAAACCAGTGAAATAAATCTAAAACCAAACCAAACTGGTTTAATTAATTTAGCTTATACTTAGAGATGGGCAAGGTAATAAAATACATAATTATTATTTATTTTTTACCTCCTTACTAACTATTACTAATTATTACATATTGTTGAGATTGCATAGTGATTATTAATTATTACGTATATATTGTATTACTAATAACAATGTATATAATGAGGTGTGGTGACTTAGTGTAGTGGTCTAGTTGTCACCCTCTCCAAGCGGCAGGTCTAGAGTTTGAATCCCACTGGTGACGATTTTAAAAAATAGGCCTGTGTATAGTTGACGGCATTCTATTGGTTGGATATAAATTAATCTGTAACCTTGATTACACTATCTAGTAATGGAAGCTTCGGTGCAATAAATCCAAAGAACCGGAATAACCAAAAACCCGTTTGGCAAGTCCCGAGTTTGGAGGTAGTAGTGATCTATGATGGTACCATAGAAGGGCTGAATTCGAACTGGGTCTGAGATCAGAGAACCAAGCGACCAGGTCCTAATGGCGGAGGACATACCAGCTGAACCACCGGGTTGTCATACTGGAAGAAAAGGATATATGCTCTGAAAGTATAGACCAAGGGGAGGGTGTCTTTCAGATATCTAAAGCCTAGGCAGACCGACTCTTCCAGGTTGCCGGATAGAAGTATGGGAAGGACCGATAAAGAATCTGCGACAGAAGGCGGTCTAAATGCGAGATACTAGAGTTGCTAGGAACCAAAACAAGGGCAAGGAGTACATAATGGGCATCTGATTAGGAAGGTTGGTACTTGAGAAACATCTGAGAATGGCAGCACCCCAAAAGATGGCATGAGATACGAATATGAAACGGCAGGTCAATATATACTAATTAGGAAAAAGTTATAAGAACAAGCATATAAATACATGTGTAGGATATATATCGCTATATTAGGTTTACCTCAAAGATAGACTAGGCCTATATGGGAAAGTAAGTCCTAAGACAGGGTGCAAAGCCAATATGGGTGATACCAATATCTACTTAGTTTAGTAAAGAAATACTCTGGATTAGAGAGTTGATGGAGGTAGTTAAAACCAAATAGTTTAAATAGGTACTCTCTCTAGTTGGGATGCAGATACAGCAGATAGTGTCAGACTACTTAAATTAGACACTCAAAAGGTGCACGTGTGGCTTGATATACCATTGTTGTAATTACATATAAAACTTTGTCTATACTCTAATAAAAAGTTCCTTAGGCCAATGAAGGTTACCTTAATACCAAAAAATAAAAAAATAAAATAATAATATATATAATAAATAATAAATGAGATTAATAATTATCAAATGCCAATACCATTGTCTTGTATTTTTGCAATACCAAATTGGCCACCACCAAATCCTAAAATACAACATTTGTTGTGCAAGCTTTCAAATGGATCTGTTGGTCATCCCCCAGATTCTCTTTTGACCCAATTAAAACTGATGATAAAAAACCTAAAGCTCATTGCATATTTTGTAACCACAACAAGTCTATATCCGGTATTGTAACAGTGATGATTTCACATATTAAAAAATATAAGAAAATTCATTCAGATATCCAAGCTTACCTTATTAATGCTCACAACTGTCAACAAAAGTTAGTTCCAATTATTGAATGTAATCAGCATCAAGATTTATCAGATGGATCAATTGTATCTTTTATGTCAGTTTCGAATTGTAATTCTGTTTCGACTTTTTCTGATAATAATATGAGTGAAAACAATGATGTTTTTAAAAATACAAGTCAGATACCTACACAATTACCAATAGATGTATGCAGATCTAATTGACTATTATTAGAAGGTATTATAAAAAGTGGAGCACCTCTTTCACTTGTAGATGCATGCAAATTTAAAAATTTGTTTATTTTATAAATAACTAGTATCATGTCAAATATTCTCAATGATAATTATAAAAATGTTCAAACCTCAATTCAATAATTTATTAATATGTCTAATTGGATTACTATCATAATGGATAGATAAACAAATATTCAACAGGATTATCTTGTGAATTTTATTGCTATTGGAAAGGTTTGAAGAGCAGAACTTATTAAAATTAAGAACACATTAGGAGAAAGCCAAATATCAATTACTATATTTAAAGATCTAGAAGAAGTTTTAATACAAATTGGAATTAAACAAATTAATGCAGTTATTACAGATAGTGCTGCAAATTATGTTCGTATGAAAATTATACTTGTACAACAATATCCTAAAATTATAGCTTTACTATATATTGCACATGAATTGAATCTTTTAGTTGGTGATATGTTGAAGTATACATATATGAAGTCAATTATAAGTTCTGCTGTTAAAATTATTGTATTTTTTTGAAAAAACACTCAGGCTATTCAAATTATTCAAGCTCACTCTAGTGATAACACATTTAGATTTACTCATCCAACTTTTACTTGATGAAATTCTTTTTTCACTTCATTACAACAATTACAAAATAAAGAGCAGTACTTAAAAGATATAGTATATGAAATGGAATCCTGATTTGATAAAACTATTATGTCAATACTAAAAAACAATGACTTCTAGAATAATTTAAGAGTTATAATTTATATATTAAAGCTGTATTCACTTACTTCTATCACCTTAGAGTCTCAATATGCTACACTAGCTGATACAGTTCACTTATGAGCTTAAATACAAATAAATATCAGTATAATTGATAACAAAGATTTTTAACTTTATGTTAATACACGTATTCAACATAGATGGAATCAAATATATAATTCAATTTTGCCTATTTGTTGGTCACTTCATCCAAGATATGTTTTTTCAAAAACAATTCATCCAGAACTTACAACTATTATAAAAAAAGAATCAAATATTTTATTTGAAAGCTTATTTTCTGATAAAGATATTAGAAAATTTCGCATGCAATTAATTGATTGGAATAACAAAGCATATACTTTTGATTTCAAAGGTAATTGGAATAAATATTTGGTTAGTAATCCAATATATTTTTGAAATAATTTACAAAATGAAGTGCCAGAATTATTAATTTTTGCTGCTTGCATAATGTCAATACCTCCTTCTTCAGCTGAATATGAACATTTTTAGTCAGTTATATCAAATATCCATTCTTTGCAATGTAACAGATTAACCAATAGATATGCAAGCAAATTAACTTGTATTCGTTAGCACATGATTCAAGATGAAAATATTAAAAATCATGATGCCAAAAAGTCTCAAGCTATTCAACAATTTAACAATAATGAAAATGAAAACGTTGATAATAAATCATTTGATCTAGAAAATGAAGATAAGTTTTATAATTTAGAATAATTAGAAAATCCAGAAGAAAACATAATGAAAACAATTAAAAATATCAAAGAGTTTAAAGCTAATAATAAAATTATTTACAACGAAGCAACTAGTGAATATAGTACTCAATCTTCGTCTCAAGTCAACTTTTAGTATGAAAATATTTTAGAGAATTGGTTTCTTCTTGAAAAATTTGACAGTGTTTTGCTTTAAAAAATTATGATTATTTTTTTTGTAGAATTACTATACATATTTAGCAGTATTTTTTGCACAATAACAAGCAATAATTTATATACAAAAAAGTTAATATATCTTATGCTAGCATATTTATAAAAAATTATAAATTGCTTTCTATATTAGATTTAATATATATCGATATAACATATTTGATTTTTAAAATTTACATATTATTACTTATTATATAAAAAATGATAAGAAATAATTAACAATTATAAGTAATAATACATTACTAAACTTGCCTATTTCTAATTATACTCCAGTTTATACTCCAGTTTTATACTCCAGTTTTATACTCAAGTTTATATTCTAGTTTTATACTCTAGTTTATACTCCAGTTTGATACTTAGTTTGATATTCTAGTTTAATACTCTAGTTTAATACTCCAGTTTATACTCTAGTTTTATACCATTAGGAAATTTTTTTATTACAGTTCTGTGCAGATTTGCAAAAAAATTAAATAATAAATCAAATAAAAATATGTGTAAAACTTCAAATTTGATACTATAAATGCAGAAATTAAATTTATTTCTATGCAAAACTTCAAATTCTAAAAATTTTGCAGATTTTTTACAATTCTTCAATAATCTGCAAAAAGACAAAATTTTGCAAATTTGCCTTATTTAATTTTTCCTATAACTCTAGTTTTATACTTGAGCTTTATACTTTAATTTTATACTCTAGTTTATATTTTAGTTTTATACTCTAGTTTATATTTTAGTTTAATACTCCAGTTTATACTCCAGAGCAGTGTTGTGTTCAGACATTGTCCTATTAAAATTGCATGGATTCAGATTGTTCTAGACAATGTCTATATTCATATGTCTAATATTATATTGTATACAAGAGTTTATTAAATGATAAGATTGGCTAACAAAGCAGCTCTTATTATAATTTTAATTGTCTAAGATGTTAATATTTTGGCAGACATGTCTGGAATGTTTCATCATAGACTGCCCATTGTCTATATTCTTTTTTTAATACAACACTGCTCCAGAGCAATACCTCAGAGCAATACTCTAAAGTAATACTTTGGAGCAATACTTCAATTTATACTTCAAAACAATACTTTAGTTTATACTTTAGACTCCAAATAAAATTAGTAGTATAAAGTACTTAATAATACCAATAGTATATTAAATTGGTGCATCAGCTAGTATTCTAATACAAATATAGTTCAAAGATAGTAAGCCAATTATATATATATATATATATATATTTTAAATCTTTGACAGTCTTGCCAGTATTCAATTTATTGCAACTATATTTAGGTGAGAGCTAAGCTCTCTCGAACA